ATAACTCATTAAAACTTTTTCAAAAAATAATAAATTTTTTTAAGCCCCGAAATAAAATGAAAACAAAAAGTTAAAAGTGAAAAAAAACAAAATAGTGAGTGGGCGAGCACGTTTTGACACCCCCATCTTTGACGATTTTTAATGTTTTTTTGGCTTAGCAGAATGGCTTCAAAATTTATAGGCGTGTAGGCTACATCATAGAAAACTCACAAAAACAAATTCAGAAACAAAAATTTATTTTTAGGCCCCGAAACATTTTTTGGCGGGGGCCAAACCTGGAGGTGTTCGGCCCCCGACCCCGAACGCCCGAACGTTCGGGGGCCAGCCCGGGGGCCCCCGAACCTTCGGTCAGGTAACCCTGTATATATATATATATATATAGTTTCTAGCGGCTGTCTGTAAATTTATTGGTTTATTGAATGTGGTTGGGTTTGTGCTCTCTAGTTGGTTTTTGGAATTTTTATTTTTWTTTTTTTTTWTTTTTTTTTTTTTAATTTGTGTATATATTTATGTGTTTATTATATATATATATATGATTTTTTAATCCGTTATTTTCTATTTTGAAGAGATTTTAAACTGAGTTTTATTTATTATTTATTTTTTTTGTATATGTATTTTTGGTTTTTGGTTCGTTTATTTTTAGGGGATGGGATTTTATATTTTTTGGTTTCGGTTATCTGTATCAAGGAGGGGATTTCTTTTGGGGGGTTGGGGGGTGAGTCCGTATTCTTGGTGATCATTTTTCGGGCAGGTGTAGTTTAGGTTGATGTGGTCCTATGTGTTTGTGGATCTTGTTTGTGGGTTCTGTGTTGTTTTTCAAGTTAGKGGGRGGGGGGGGGGGTTGGGGGAATTTTTTTTTTTTTTTATATGGATAGTCAGTGGGTGGAGGTATCTATTTATGTTGGTGRWWARWAWAAGTAGGTGGTGTGTGTTCATTGTTGGTGGAGCAGTTGTGCGTATGCGTGATCTTGTAGAGACGGCTTTGTGTCTATTCTATTTTCGAGGAGATTTGATCGTGTTATTGTATCGGTATCTCAGGTTGTCTTGTCGGTGTATAGTCTCATTGATGGCGACGGCAGTGGTGTGTTGGGGGCAGGTGTGTGGGCGAACTGTGATAATCTATGAGATGACAGATCATCGAGATCATCGGTCGGATCGTGATTTTGGGTTCGTGGCAGCTGATACTCATTTTGGGTATCGCCATTACGAGGTTGATGCCAATGGGATATTGGTTCTACGCCTGGAGATGGGGTTGGAATATGTGGGCAACGATCTATGTGATGTGGCCATCTTTGTTACAAAGTTGCATGAGGATGTACCATATCAGCATGTAGGTGAGGGTGATGATGTCGTGAAGAAGATTGATCGTTTGCTGTTGTCCTCAGTGGCTTTGGAGCATGATGGTCGATTGGCTGGAATCGCGGAGTGGGAAGGGATCTTGGATACGCCGTTGATTGGTCGTTGCTATCTGCATGGGGAGTTACGTTTTGACATGTAGGAGCAAGATATGGGTGTGTGAATCGTGTTTTGTTTGGAGGTGGTCGAGTGGTTGAGGGTTGTGAGACGTGACTATCCCTCGTAATTTTCATGGCTGTGTAGCATTGGGGTAGCATTTTGGTATTATAGTTTTATAAGGGTTTATTTAGGGAACGAGGATCAGATAAAAAAAGAGGAGTGCTGATTTCGGGAATGAATACTTTTGGTGGACGATGGTTGGTGGTTAGTTCTGCACAGTTAACCTGGCATGTTAGTCAGGTGTGTAATTTTGATGGTGTTTGTGTATGTGTGGTTATGGGTGGTGGTATTCGTTTTTTTTTGTTTTTTGAGTTATCTTTACGGATGTTGAATGCTCAAGGCGTATCCATAATATGTAAGTAATGGATTAATCCGTACGAAGAAGGATGGTTAGAAGGATGGTTAGAAGGGTGGTTCTAAACGCGAAGATAGAGAAACATTAGAAGCGGACAAAGATGGGTATGTTGGGAGGATAATCCGATAGAAAGGGGTGGTGACGTACCAAGGGATTTATTTTCGTTCGCATGTACGTCATGTGGTGGGAATTTGTTTGGAATCCTGTCTTTGTTTGTGTTGTTTTTTTGGTTGATTGGCTGTAGTGGTATCTTCATGTTGGATTGATGATTAAAACGGGTGTTTATTTTAGAATCATCCTTTGGGATTGTTGTCTTTTGCACAGACTGTATACGATACATTTCCTTGTTATGGACAGGGTATTTCTAAAATGTCGGTTGTATTTGTGGGTTTGTTCGTATTTTTTATTATTACGTATCAGTTGTTTTTTTGGGGAGGGAACCAAGGGATTTATTTTCGTTTGCATGTACGTCATGTGGTGGGAATTTGTTTGGAATCCTGTCTCTGTTTGTGTTGGTTTTTTGGTTGATTGGCTGTAGTGGTGTCTTCATGTTGGATTGATGATTAAAACGGGTGCTTATTTTAGAATCATCCTTTGGGATTGTTGTCTTTTGCACAGACTGTATACGATACATTTCCTTGTTATGGACAGGGTATTTCTAAACTGTTGGTTGTGTTTGTGGGTTTGTTCGTATTTTTTATTATTACGTATCAGCTGTTTTTTTGGGGGGGGGAATTATTGTGTTCTGAACCCTAGCGAGTCAGTAATTTCAGTGTACACATGTGGTTCGTGCATCTACTTCTCCTTGGGTCGAAAACTAAGGATTTGTTTGTCCCGGATGATGCCCTTGAAAGAACTGTGATAGTGTCATGGTGAATTGACTCGTCTATGTTTTTTTTTTGTGGATCGACTTAAGTTCTTATGAAATCTCACGCCCGGTGTAGTTTAGTCAGGTGATCTGCTCAGTCTGCTTGGAAGACCGAACATCTATTTCTTCTTATATTTTTGTTTTGCTTACTAACAAAAAGGGGAGCATAAATTAATTCGTCGGGTTACTAGGTATCACCTACTGGTTTGTGCTCTATATCAGTAAATGGTCATGGTCGGAGTAGTCTTGTCAGACGAAACTATTTTATCTGTCTGTGCGCAAGCTCGACTTACCGATCAATCGTTTTCTTTCGTATGTAATCGTGATCCTGTATTATCGTTCCAGTTCATGTCGGTGGATGATAAATCAAACCCCTTATCTGTTTATAAAGATACACGAATTACTCAGACATATAATTCCCTCTATAGTTATTTGTCCCAGGTGATGCCCTTAGTGGAAGTAGGGGGAGGAAGCAGGTATATCCCAAGTTGGGACCGATAAGGAGAGCTTGTGATCCGGGCAATCCTGTTCGGTGGAGGCAGCGGATGGATAGGGGGAGATGTAGGGGAGGGGGGGAAATAATCTACAACAATGTCTGGAATTCTGGTTCTCCTCTTTAGTGTAAACAAATTACTTCTGGTGAGGGGGTGGGTTGGGGGAGAGCTCTACTCTGCAGGGGCTTCACAAGGAGGGAGGTGATTGCCGTGAAGGGAGACGGGGCAGATTTTGGGGGATGCTCTATTCTGGGGCTGGGGGAGATGTATGGGTCGTCATCATATCACAACGGAGGCAGATAAGGGCAAAGGGTTGGCAGAGGCATACTTTGGGTGGGAACTGGATGCCTTTGTGGGAGTGGGGGGGGAAATGGGTCTGTCCCAAGTTGGGGCCGATGAGGAGTGCTCGTGATCAGCGGCGGTCGTTTTCGGTGGAGGCAGCGGTGGGGCAGGGGGGAAGGGGGGAATTTCTATATCCTTTGCTTGAATTTGGTTGGGACCTTTTCTGATTCTTCCTGGAATATTCAAAACAATCACCCTTATTATTTCCCGGTAGTTTGACGAATCTCTCAGGACTCTGAGGGACTGTTGGTGGTTTATACGAAGCTGCACTGAAATTAGACTGTTATATTCAGGATCCGTGGCTGTTCCATGCCAGAACGACGCTGGCCGGAGCGGGGGTGATGCTCTGTAACTTGCCGAAGGTGAGGGCATGAGGCCTTGTAGAGAGATTTGGGGACGCTATGCGGGGGCATCCTAAGGGACAGCTGGGGGTTGATGACACAGGACGACACTGGTCGGAGCTGGAGTGAGTCGCGTTGCTCTGTAACCTAGCGGATAGAGAGCGTGAGGCCTGGATGAGTTTGTCAGAGAATAAGTCAGTTTTGGTGAGCTTTGTTATGATCTGCTGGAATTCTCTTAGATACTTGAGTGTTCGGAGAATTGCGGGTGGATTTCAGGAGGTGTTTAGCGATTGAAAAAAAGGATTCGTAGTTTTTCTCATCATCTATACTGGTAGTTTTCTCATCATCTATCCCGATTTTCAGCAGTTTGTTTATGATCTTGGAGGATACTCTCAAGCCGAAACTGGGTTTGTTCATAAATGTTTTCTACATGTCTTCATATGGGACGCTGGGTCCGATTCCCAGCACGTGCTGCTCCCCGCGAATAGATTGGAGCATGTCTTCCAAAAAAAAAAAAAAAAAAAAAAAAAAAGCTACCATCCTCGCTGTCGCCCAATTCGATTGGCATGGCGATGTCCATTACGCAGTCCGTCTCCCCCACCGCACCGGCTCCCGGCACTGGGCCCCTTGGGGAGTGAGCTGTGCTCAACGCCCACTGCCTTTCGTGCTTGCTGAAGTCTTACTTCTCGATAACCAGCGCCCGCTTCCGTCTGAGATGCCGGACACCGCTTCCGTCTGAGATGCCACACCATGTCCGCACTCCCGGCGTCTTGCCTACTGTGGATCGTCACCTAAAGTCGGCACCCTGCCGTGAAACCAACACTGAGCCCCGCAATCCAGCTATGGCTCCGCGGCACCCGCCCAACGGTCACCCCTCCGTCTCCCTCCCTCACTCTGCCTTCTCCCGTCCTCATCCGTCCCCGCGATCCTCTCCACGCTCTGCGGTGTCGCCGTCCACTCACCCGTGTGCAGCTTGGCCCCGGTGGCCACTTCGCGCCTCCTCCAATGCAGGTCCACTGCGTTGCGTGCGCTAAGCGAGCGCTCCCCGCATCTGCCTGCTTTTCCTCATCCCTGAAACACAGACCTCAGCAGTTCTCAACTTTGGCATCTTCGGCAAAGCTTCAACCACCAAATTGAAGTTATACCCAACTACTGGAATGCTCAAATTATGCTCCTGCACGGGCAAGTTGTGTGCATACCCAAATTTGCCTCCCCAGTTCCTGGGCATAAACCACCAGTACATCCGAAAAAGGAGATTGAGCATCTCCTAAAAAACAGCAGGCCATGGACCATCAATAAAATGAATCGGCAGTTCATGGCCTCCTATTCTTAGGAGAGGCTCAATCTTCTTTTTGGGATGTACTGGTGGTATAAGCATAATTTTGTGCTCCCCAACCAACGGCTTGTGGTACTGGGTACACATTTAAGTTGGCACATGGGAAAAGTAGGGTATCTCAGCATGTTCTGTTCGGTCACTCCGGGTAGACTGTGAGGACCCCGGCCTCAATCTTCTTGTTGGTAATATCAGCCTTGGGCACTGGGCCCGTCTTAAAAAAAAAAAAAAAAAAAAGGGTATCACCCCAAGTTGGACAGGGTCTGGGTATAGATGCAAGTTGGGTGCTGGAGTGGGTATAGAGAGTCTTAGAGACTATTGCCATCTTTAAATGGGGTACAGATACAATTTCCCCTTTTCTTTTTTGTTAATCCCGGCGGCATTCCTTCATCACGGGAGGGATAAGAGCCCATGAGGGCCAGGACTGGTGATTGATGGCTCCTTTCCATGCAATTCTCAGGGAAAGGAAAGGGATGAGAAGGCAAAAGACTGTCTTTGATGCCTGTCATCTGGACGCGTGGCTGAGGGGAGCTTGGCACAAGGTGTAATCCTGCTCCGTTTCGCTATTCTGGGTGCTGCCTACTCCACTACCCATGAATGAAAAAAATGAGCAGTCATGGTGTAATGTGTCTGCTAGAGGGTGGAAGTGTCTCATTCCCTGGAAGTGCCGACAGGCCTGAAAATTCATTATTCACAGCAACAACAACAACAAATAGAAGTCACCACGTCAGGCTGATTGGATGTATGGGGATGTCAGAGTCTGACACACATATTGGTTATCTGGGAAGGTCAGAGTCTGGCACAAAAATACACAGCAGGCTAACTGAGCGAGCAAGCAGAGGTTGTGGTTGACCTTTTTTTTTTTTTCTTTGTTTTTTTATAAAGCCCAGGTTGTTGTAGAGGTTGGATTTTAATTGCGGCTTGAGTGACCTAGCAATAGAAATGGAATGGATTTTCTTTTGAAAAAAAAAAAAAAAAAGAGGCTGGATTTTAATTGCGGCTTGAGTAGCCTAGCAATAGGTCAACACTGCTCAACAGTTATCCAGGTTTTTCCTAAATCTTCCTGAATTTTTTTCATAGTTTTCAGATTGTTCTTAGCCGAAGCCAGGTAATGGCCCTGGTATTTCAAATCATTTGTATATTCTACATGGGATGCTGGGCCCGGTTCCCAGCACGTGTTGCTCCCCACGAATAGATTGGAGCATTTGTCCCAAAAAAAAAAAAAAAAAAAAAAA